ATTCCTCCCGCGGTCACGTGAGTCGCCGACATCGGCGCCAATTCACTTCGTCTGCCTCCGACGTAGTTTCGCGGGGCCCCTGCAGCCGCCGATGACTGCATCCCTCGCGCCTGAACGCCGCCGACTTCATCGGCGCGAATCACACCTCGCTGCCTCGACGTGGCTCCCGCGCAGCTACCGACTTGGTCACCCGCGGCGTTGACTCCCGCGTCGACGCCGCCTGCGTTGTTCACCGGTCGAGGAGATACAAGCCGAGAAGAGGGGTGCTCCGCCGCCCACAAGGCGCGAATGCCTGCCTCGACCACCGTCAGCGGGAGAGTTCCGTACTCGTTCGCCGCATGACGTCTCCTCGCGTCCTCCAGCCGTGCTCCCAAGGTGTCCGCGACACCCGCCTCTACTACGGGGTCCACCATGGCGTCTAACACAGCTGCCGGTCTACGAACAAACGGGGTGAATGTGAAGTCAGCTAAACCGAAGGTTTCGTCGCGGTGTCGTCCACGCTCACCGCACCATGCGGAGATAACTTGTGCAACGGGAGATAGACTACGGGCAAGGCACGGATGCTCATGTGATCTCTGCGTTCGTTGGTTCCTTAGTTGTTTCCAAGTGCTAACACTGCTTGCTAGTTCACGGGGAAAATTGGCAAGAGTTTCACTAGGAAAACATAACAACAAAGGTCCAGAATGATTTTGCATCAACATTGGCAACACTGACTACATCAGACCTAGCAAGGCTTGCTGGTCCACTGCCAGCGCAGCACGGTCGACCGCGTGCCAGCACAACTCGGTCGACCGCGCTCCAGCAGAGCAGAGTCGCGGCTTTCCAACGTTGCAAGTCCGCGGTGCGCCAACGCTGCAGTATGTCGGCTGCACAGCGTCGCAGCTGGTTGGCGCCCAACTCCCCGTCACATGCCCAGCGCAGACACTCCGCCCGTGACGGCGCCCACCAGCCACGTCGACCTCGGGATACCACCCCCGAGATCGCCATCGTAGATAACATCCCCGGCGACTTTCGCGTACGTCGCCCGGGTATCCTGGTTGACCGGGTACTTCGCGGTCCTCCCGCGGTTTCTCGGTCACCGCGGTCCTCCGCGGTTTCGTGGATCCACGATCCCCCGTGATTTCGTGGCTCCGCGGTCCCCCACGATTTTGTGGCTCCGCGGTCCCCCACGATTTCGTGGCTCCGCGGTCCCCCACGAATTCGTGGCTCCGCGGTCCCCCACGATTTCGTGGCCCCGCGGTCGGCTCCGCCCAAGCGAGGACGGGGCCAAACACAACTCCCGTTGACAGGAGGTACTGGAGCTGCTGGGCCTGGTGGTGCTGCTGGGCCTGGTGGTGTTGCTGGAGCTGGGGCTGCTGGAGGTGCTGGAGCTGACGGTGCTCCTGGTGCAGGTGCTGCTGGAGGTACTGGAGCTGGCGCTACTGGAGCTGCTGAGGCTTCTGGTGGTCCTGCTGGACCTGGAGCTGCTGGAGGTGCTGGAGCTGGAGGTGCTGCTGGAGCTGGTGCTCCTGGGGGTGCTGGAGTTGGCGCTACTGGAGCTGCTGGAGGTGCTGGTGGAGGTGGTGGTGCTGCTGGAGTTGGAGCTGACCCTGGGGGTGCTGGTGCTGTCCCTGCTGGTTCTGGAGGCGCTGCACGGCCGCGGCCGTACTTCGTTCCGCTCCTTGAGCAGGTTCTTGGTCTCCCGCCTTCTACTGGTCCTGCTCCATCCTTAGAGTGTCCACCTTCTGTCCAGTCGCAGTCACAGTTACAGCCCGCCTCCCCACTGCCTGCTCCTTCTCCATACACTGGTCCGACCGGAGGTCTTACGGAGCGTCGTGAGCCTGAGTCCCGTCCTGCGTCGCCTGTTCGTGCTGCTCGCACTAGTCATTGTGGTTCGCGTCAGCGTCCTCCTCCTGTCCCTGGCACGCACCAAATGGCTCTGCGTCCTTCCACTGCTCCGCAGCGTGTCCCTCTGCCGTCTCCTCCTGCGTCTTCTCTTCCTGCCCTTGCTGGCCCGGAGTCTGACTCTCTTCGTGCTGCTAGTCCTACTGTCACGCGTCTCCTGGCCACTATTGTCACTGACCCTTCCTTTGAGTCCACTGCTGCGTCTGCCTTAGTTGCTGAGCTTGTCGACTTTGCTGCTCACTGTCGTCTGGACTACGCCGCTAGTCTTGTTGCTGATTCTGAGTCTATCTGTCCTCCGTCCGTCGGGGGTGAGTGTGCTCTTAGCACGGACGTCCTTGAGGACAGGCAGGAGGAGTTCCAGTGTTTTGCTGCTGCTTTACCTCATCTCGTGTCCATGTTGCTTGCCCCTGAGGGAGACCCGGATGCACCAGACATCCCGACCCCGCGCTCTTACGCAGAGGCGATAGAGGGTCCCTACTCCTCTCAGTGGCAGACAGCCATGGATGCAGAGATGGCTTCCTGGAAGTCCACAGGCACCTACGTCGATGAGGTTCCCCCACCTGGGGCGAACATTGTCGATGGCATGTGGATTTTCAGGGTGAAGCGGCTGCCGGGTTCTCCGCCTGTCTTCAAGGCGCGTTACGTGGCTGGAGGCTTCAGTCAGCGGCAGGGAGTTGACTACTTTCAGACCTTCTCTCCCACCCCGAAGATGACCACTCTTCGGGTACTGCTGCACGTCGCTGCTCAGCGTGACTACGAGCTTCACTCTCTTGACTTCAGCACAGCCTTCCTACAGGGCAGCCTGCACGAGGAGATCTGGCTGCGCCACCCACTTGGCTTCACTGGGTCGTTTCCTCCTGGTTCCCAGTGGAGCCTCCGGCGGCCAGTCTATGGTCTCCGCCAGGCGCCTCGCGAGTGGCACGACACACTGAGGACTACGCTTGCGGCTCTTGGGTTTGCTCCTTCCACTACTGACCCGTCGCTGTTTCTCCGCACCGACACTACTCTGCCGCCGTTCTACATCCTCGTGTACGTCGACGACTTGGTCTTTGCTACTGCTGACACTGCTGGACTGGCCCTCGTGAAGTCGGAGCTGCGGAAGAGACACACGTGCACAGACCTGGGTGAGCTGCGCAGCTATCTTGGCTTGCAGATCACCTGGGACAGAGCACGGAGCACCATTACCTTGACTCAGTCACATATGGTGCAGCAGGTCCTTCAGCGCTTCAACTTCACGTACTCCTCGCCTCAAGCCACTCCTCTGTCTTCTCGCCACTCACTCTCAGCTCTGCCTACGGATGAGTCCGTAGAGCCGAGTGGCCCGTACCCAGAGCTTGTTGGCTGCCTCATGTATCTGATTACCTGCACTCGACCTGACCTGGCATACCCTCTTAGCATCTTGGCACGCCATGTTTCTCGTGGGAGACACCGACCAGAGCACATGGATGCAGCTAAGAGGGTGTTGCCCTACTTGTGCAGTACGTCGGGCATAGGGCTCGTGCTTGGAGGACGGGCTCGAGTTGTCCTCACTGGTCACGCAAACGCTTCTTGGGTTGACGACTTGGCTACGCAGCGGTCGTCACAGGGTTACACCTTTAGCCTTGGTTCCGGCTCTGTGTCGTGGCAGTCTACCCGCTCGTCTTCTGTTCTCAACTCCAGTTGTGTGAGAGTACGACGGCTTATGCCAGCTATGCTTGCTTGCCTTTACTTTATTATGCTATTTCTAGCATAGGAGAATTATATGCATGCATGAATTGCTTGATTTCCTAGGCTAGGTGCTTTCCTATATTTTATTATAGTTATAGCACCGAGCTAGGTTGCGTGCACCGAATTCTGGCTCTTCGGTTGCCACCGAATTGCCTTCTACCGAATTCGGGAAGGATCTGTTCGGGACGCTTCGCGACCCGCGGAACCTTCGCGTAACACCTGGTTACGGGGCCTTGTGTCGAGCCTATATATAGCCTCGTGTTGTACCTAGGTGATCATTCAATTCACATTCTCTTTTCTGAGCTCGATCCTAGATCCTCACAAGTTGTGAGGCTGAGATCTACGCTGGGGCCATGGCTGCACAGGAGTTACGCTGGCTCACCTACCTGCTGACCGACTTGGGAGAGGCGCCTCGTTCTCCTCCTGTTCTGTACGTCGACAACAAGGCCATGCTAGCCTTGTGTGAGGAGCACAGACTGGAGCACAGAACGAAGCACATTGCTCTGCGCTACTTCCTTGCTCGAGAGTTGCAGCAGCGTGGTCAGCTTCGTCTTGCTTACGTGGCCACTCGGGCCAACACTACTGATATCTTTACCAAGGCACTTCAGCCTTGTGATCATCAGCGCTTTTGTACTATGCTAGGTCTCGTGCCTACTTGGCCTCACTTGCTCACTTCTTGACTTTACTTGTACTGTGATCTATATATAGCTGCACCTGCATGCTTACCCTTGCTAGGTTGAGATCACTGTCTTGCTTGTTCACCTTGATATATAACTCTATATGTGAACTGGCCTTGTGGCCTTGTGCTTGTGCTCAGAATGCGTGGTGACGTCGTGATCCACCCTGAGCTTGCCTTGCTTTGCTTGACTGGTCTTGTGACCTCTTGTTCTCCCCCACTTTGCCTATGGGGGTGTGTCAAACATATATGATATAGCCTGTGTAGGCTGTAATGGGGTAGACATTATGGGGTACAAGTTTTCTAGGTTTTCATACTTGTACCCATCCCCTTTCTAGTCCACACCATTCCTCGTACATTCTTCACACTCATCGTCATGGCGAAGGCCCGTTACCGCCAGCACTGGCTGCGGGCATTTACGGCCCTATGGGCGCACGATGTCGCAACAAGCGCCGCTGCGAGGTTCAAGCCGAATTTCCGCGACGTCCTGGCGTGGTTGTCAGACACGTGGATGACCATCGGTGCGCGGACCATCCAGCGTTGCTGGTGGCGCACTGGATGCCTCCCGCGTTTGTGGGCCATGAACTTGCCGCACATGCATGATGAGGGAGGCGACGTTGGCGATGACGGCAATGACGGTGCAGACGGCAATGAGTATCCCGACATCGATCTCGACGAGGAGATCGGAGATGTGGGGATATTCATTTCGCGACTCGGACTCAGGCCTAGCGCGATGCCAGCGGCAGAGTATGTCGCCATCGACGACCATGAGCCGACCTACGCCGAGCCCGGCGAGGACCCGCTGGCGACCGAGCCGACGGTGGACATGGCGATCGAGGTGTGGGCGGTGCCCACGACCATGCAAGGCGTGTACGATGATAGCGCCCCGGTGGGTCGTTAAGCAAGGCGCACTGCACAGGCGGCGTGCGAAATGCTTATCGGCTACGCTCGCGCCATGTGCATCACGCCGCGCGACCTGTGTCACCTCTTCGACATATGCAACCCGGTAATCATCGCGTGGATCACCGCTAATCATCGCGAGCCCGCCCATCAACGTGGACATGACCCCACTTCATGCAGTCACGCCAGGCGTCACCCCGCCCGCCGAGACCCCGCATCGGCGCGGCCGCGTGCTGCCTGCTTGGATAACCCAGGCATCCCGCTGCCAGCCGCTGCTGGACGCTGGTGTCACCGCCGTCATGCGGCATAGTGGATACGCGTGTGAGGGGTTTTGACACCCGCTGGAGGAGTTGGCATCTCATACCCTTCACAAATGTGCACAACTTGTGAACATTTGTTGATGCTTCACTTGCTGAAGAGAATGTAGCATGGGGCCAGGTGACATGAGTGCATTGGATGGAGAGTTGGGGTGTATGATTTGACAAAGTTGGATGGTTGCTGTAATTGTATGCTACATTGAAGAAGAGAAAATGAGGTAACCTTGGGCACACACAAACAACAAGGCCGGTCGACCACACTCTTATGGGAAAAACAAACGTGTTACAACCTGTGTTTTCTATAAGCACACTCAAAGTGCGGTGAAAGCCACAAACCCCGGTGATATGCAAAGAACGATTATAAGCCCATTGCTCGGGCAACCATGGGGGACTCGAACGAGCATCGGGTGTAGCAAAAGGCATTTCTGTGAAGCGCGCACGTTCTCGTCTGTGTGGCAGGTACCAACCCCTTCATTTCCTGCCACCTACACCCACTGCACCGATTTTCAAGATTTACGAATCGCGATTCGTGCGATTCAAAACGGAACACCACGGCACGGCAGCAACTCAGGAACGGACAGGCTGAACCCTACCTGGCAGAACATTATTATGACTCGCCCGCAAGCAAGCAACCTCTTCCGCTCATAGCCCTCCTGCCTACCTTTCACCTCGCATTTCGTCAGCACCCCATTTCATGCAATTTCTTGCTCGGCATCCCCCCTCTAACCTTCATTTCGAGGTTGCGATGCGCATGGTTTTGTATTGCGCAATTCTTCAACTTAAATCCCCGATATCGTGCTACGCACGTTGAAGCTCATAGCAATCACGTAAACATTTCTTAGGCAAGGTACGTTAGTAGTAGTTCGGAGACGTCTCGTACCTCTTTCCGTCATGGCGGTTGCCTCGCCGCGGCGCAGGTGCTCGTACGGGACGTGGTGCGCCTTTCTCTGCCTGCTGCTGCTCTCTTTTATCGCGACGGCGCCGACGGCGACGGCTCAGCCGACGAAGGCGGAGTATCTTGCGGAGCTGGACACCCTCATTGCAAGGCTCAATATGCAAAGCTGCAGCATCATGGCGCAAGCCGTGTCGAGCTTCAGGGATCAAGTCGGTAAGTTTTCGATTAGCCTAATTTCACGCGCTTTAATCTGCAAAACTTAGGTGTTATCGTCCCGATGCTGACGGTGTGGGATAGGCGAGGTAAGTTGGGGCAAGGTGACCGAGCAGTCATAGCATGTAAGCGAACCGCAATTTGTAGAAATGTGTGCTCATGCCGGAGTGGTTAACGGGACAGACTAGAAATCTGTTGGGCTCTGCCCGCGCAGGTTCGAGTCCTGCTGAGCACGGCTTTTGTGCTTGACTGAGTCAGACCACTCCAGCATTGACTTTTCTCCACACACACACTTCCTAAGAACACAAGGATCTCACCTCCCTCCCCAAACAATTCTGAACTTTTTCCCCAATCACCTTCGTCCCCACACCTTCTCTCTCTTCGGCATAGGAAATTCCCAATGTTGTCTCCTGTTGACGTGTCACCCAGAACTCTCCGTGTTCATGCCATCTGACATAGTATCACTCCTCTTCGCTCCATCCCATCCCACCGACCCCCCTCCCTACTATCCGCTCCAGGGAAAGGCCGTGACGCTGTTTTCTCCACAGGATACCAGGAGTAGTTGGTTGCTCAGAATCAACAGAACTGGCCTTTACTCCTCTCCCGTACGTTGCTCCTCACATTTTTCCCCTCCCTGTCCGCACTAGGGACAAGTCCCCAACGCTGCCTTCACTCCTTTTCCTTTACGTCCCACCTCACTTCTCTCCTCTCCCCACTTTCCCACTCCCCCCACCCTCCCCCCGTCCGCCCCAGAGACTGTCCCTGACGCTGCCTCCTCGGCAGGCTACCAGGAGTAGTTGGTTATCCAGATTAATAGTAAACAAACCGACTTCACTCCTCTTCCTTTACGTCCCACCTCACTTCTCTGCTCTCCCTCCCGCCCCTCTCCCCCCATCCCTCTCCCCCTCCCCCCTGTCCGCACCAGAGACTGTCCCTGACGCTGCCTCCTCGGCAGGCTACCAGGAGTAGTTGGTTGTACAGAATTCTATAAACAAACCGACTTCACTCTTCCCTACGTCCCACCTCACTGTCCCCCTGTCCGCACCAGAGTCCGTACCCGACGCTGCTTTCTCCACAGGCTACAAAGAGTTAACCTTCCTTGCACCGGCCGACTTTGCTTGGGCAAAGGCAGCTTTCCGACCGCAGGTCTCTGCTGCAGATCGCCAACAGCTCGCAAAATATCACATCTTATCAGGTCTCTACAGCTTTGCGCAACTTAAAGCCTTGCCCAACCGCAGCAAGATACCCACTACAGCGGGGAAGAGCATAATGAAGCACAGCGTGCGGGCCAGTTGGTATTGGAATCCCGGTACAAGTGTGGCAGTGAGCAGCCCGGGAGCGCAGCAGCTGTATTGGGCGCAGATAGACACAAGGAAGCTGTTCAACGGCAAGTATGTGAAGGGGCATGTCATTGACTGCGTTCTTGTGCCGCCCAGCTGATACTTGCCCCATGAAACAGGCTGCACTTGACTGCTGACAGCTGCTCCGATTTCAAATCACATTTACTGATTTGTCGCAGTGCTTCCATACCACCTACGTTGAGTTGTGGTTGCAATAGCTATAGGTGTTTCATGTGCTCCGTTAAAGCTCACGTTCATATTTACAAGCCTCATACACTTGCACCCGTGTTGGGCTGAGAAAAGCCCTTAGGATCTTTGCAAGGCTAAACTCTGCGTAGGAATGTTGTACGGTAGTTGCGGAAGCGTTTAATAACAAGTGTTGAACCACCTTGCGCTAGTATGTGAGCAGGCCCTCAGATTGGTTTTGGGCTAGTCTGAAAAATCAAAGTTGGTACAAAGATTTACTCTGAAATTCAGAGAAAAATGCCACTGTACACTAGAAACAAACAGCATTTTCCCATTTTCCCTAAAAAAAGTTATGATTATTCAGCCTTGGTACAAAAAAATGGTATGAAAATCATATTTTTTTTGCCAAATCAGAGAAAAAAGTCTGACTTCTGAGGGCCTGTATGTGAGGGCAAGCTACCGTAGATTAATTATAAGGAAGTAATACATGCCTTTTATAAGATTACAAGAAATATGAAAGGGTCTAACTAATAATTGTTTTACTGTTGCTGTTGTGGTTCGATACAGTGACGACTCGGGCGACTGCTCAGTATCGAGTCAGTTGTTTGTCCTTGCTGTCGCGCTGTATTTGTCGAGTCAAAGGTCAGGTCAGCGACCTTTGACCTTCGCGTAACCTCCAGCGGTTACATTTTCTGTCAACCTCCGATGGTTGACTCGCCGTTGCTTCTTTGTAATTCGCTTCGCTTGCAGTTCGGTGTTTCGACACATCAGAAGCGTTTAAGTCACTTTGTTTCCAACACTCCCCTTCGCTTCTGAAGTGTCGCTGCTGGTGACGTGGCCTTGTCCAGTCAGCAGCATGCAGTACTCGAACTTCTGTTTTCCGAGCTTCTTGGTCAAGTAGTCAGCTGCCATCTCCGACGTGGGGCAGTAGGACAGCTCAAGTCTCCCCTTCTCGATCTCGTCCTTGATGAAGAAATATCGCAGGGCGATGTGCTTCGTCCTGTTCGCAAATCCGCTCTTGTTCGCTATGCAAATCGCTGACTGATTGTCGCAAAACAGGGAGAAGTTGGGTAACTGGGCCAGCTTCGCTTCTTCCAGCAGTTCGCGAAGGTACAGTCCTTCCTTGGTGGCTGAGCAGAGTGCAATGTCTTCTGCTTCAGCTGAGGAGAGAGAAATTAATTCCTGCTTGCTCGACTGCCACGAGATAGGCCCGATAGGCTCGAGTCGGTAGATGTAGCCGGTGCGCGAGCGCCTGTTGTCAGAGTCGCCGGCGTGGTCAGCGTCGACGTAGCCAATTAGCTTAGGTGTCGTAGTTCCGGTCTTGTAGTAGGTTAGACCGATCGTCAGAGTGCTGACGAGGTAGTGCAGTGCGTGGTCGAGCTCCGCCATGTGCTCTGCTTCAGGTTTCTTGAGGTAGGTTGGCTCGCAAAGCACGATAGATCCGGTCGGCAGCTGACTGCTGCGAAGAGGAGGCATCCCAGCTTCCGTTGGTAGTCGCGTATGCCGGCGGGTTTGAGCGGAGCGGAGACTTCCTTATGACTTCCTGTGGTGTAGTGGTATGGTGTGGAGATAGCGGCTGGCGTTAATCCGAATCGCTTAGCGATAGTGTCGGCGTACTTCGCGGCGCTGAGGTAGATCGCGTTTTCTTCTTCAAAGATGTTGAAGCCGAGGTATTGTGTCACGGTAGATGAGACCGTGAGCGTAAGGTCCTGCTGCATTTCTCCTTCGAACCAGGTTGTGACGTCGTCGGTCGAGCCGATATAGAGGAGATCGTCTACGTAGACGATGAGTAGAATGTAGTCAGTGCCCTTTGTGAGCCGGTACATGCCTTGGTCGTGCGGTAGCTGGCGGAATCCAATGCGAATGAGTCGGGCGTGTAGGTACTGCTGCCACAGTCTCGGGGCTTGCTTGATATCGATTTGGCGTAGCTTCTTCTTCTTCATGGCGGTTATCGCGAGGAGAATCCGCAAAGAGGTGTGTCGGCTAATTGGCGCGAATGTTTCAGTGAAGTCCCGTCCGTGTTCTTGGTCGAAGCCGCGTACGGCCCATCGTGCTTTGAACTTGTCGATGGTGCCGTCTGCTTTGGTTTTCACACTGAAAACCCATTTTCCGGTGAGAATTGTCTTGTTGCGTGCCACGCCGATGGGAACAATTTTCCAGGTGTTGCGTTCTTCCAGTGCCTTTAACTCCCTGTCCATGGCTTCGCGCCATTTTTCCCTATGCTTCCCCCCCAGAGCCTGCTGAACTGTGCAATGCTCCTTAGGAGGCGCCGTTCCGTGGACTGCGGTGACCAGGCCAAGTATCTGAAGTCCACTCTGTATGTAGCGGGGGAGAGTTGTGTCCTCGGGGTAGACTGCTTCGTCTCCCGCTTCTGGATTAGGTATGAAATTGGTTCCTACGCGTTCTGCTTCGTTGGTGTTGACTCTTGCAGGTGTAACGTAACCGTTGTCGGCAAAGTGATAGTAAACTTCGGCGTTGATGCTTTCACGGGAATTTTCGTCATCCATCGGTACGACTGAGCAGTAGGGAAGAGGTCCGGCTTCCTCCGAGGCTCTGTCCACGTTCTGCTCGTCCCAGTCAGCTTCATCTTCTACCGAGGCGAAGGCTCGGGTGCCAACAAATCCATCCGAGAGGTCCGGATTTCCTTCTTGCAAGTTGGCAAGGTACGTCGTAAGAGTGAGGTTTTTGTAGAAAATGACATTACGTGCTGCCACGGTTTCCTTTGTGTTGATGTCGAAGATTTTCCATGCGTTGTAATGTTTCTCGATGCCCAGGTGTAGTCCCCACTGTGCGCGTTGGGAGAATCGGCCGGCGCGTGCAGCTGGGGGTCGGTACTGTACCATGCAGCCGAAAACTCTCAACATTTTTGTGCTGCCCAATTTTCCTGTCCACAGCAGATGCGGTGATGCGTTGTTCGGGAGCGATGATGACAGGAGCAAGTTGTGCAGCATGACAGCATGGTCCATCGCTTCGGGCCACTGGTGGTTGGGTAGCCGCATGCCACATAGCAGCTTGCGCATGGTGTTTTGAAGGGTCCTGTTCATTCTTTCTGCAACGCCTTGCTGTTGGTGAAGGGAGATGAGTCGCTTGATGCCTCTTTCTGCGAGGTAGTCATTGAACCTGTGTGACTGATATTCCCCTCCTCCGTCTGACTGGAAGCTTTTCAGCTTCACTCCTGATTCTCGTTCTGCTGCTGGAAGCCAGGCGGCGAAAGCGACGAGGGCCATGTCCTTGCTTGGGAGGTTGCAGTGCCAGACGTAGCATGTGGCGGCGTCGATGAACGTGATGACGTATTTATACGCCCCTTGTCCAGGCTCGTGATTGTATAGTATGTCGCTGTACACCTTTTCCAGAGGTGCGTACGCTGGTGCGCTTGGATTGTGATGTGAGACGAACGGCTGGTGCGGTAAGTTTGCTTCAGGACAGGTGAAGCACGTTCCACGGACTCGCTGAAGTTCTGTGCCGTCAGTTAGAAGTAGTGAATCTTTGTCGAGCACGCCTGGTCGTATCGTGTTATTTAACGTCGTGTTGCTTGGATGTTCCATTCTTGCGTGCCAGGTTCCTTCGGTGGCGCGATGTCCAGGTGAACGTCTGTACATGTCGGAGTTGGAGTAGAAGCCCGCGGTGAAGTTGGCGCTTCGGTGGACTTCTCGTGGAGTGGGGTTCAGCTGTTGCGTAGGAGTCGGTGGTGTATTGTCGACGAAGACCAGTGCCGTTGAAGGGCCAGCGATTGGTGCTGGTGTTGTTTCTGCTGCTGCCAATGTTGTCTCTGCTGCTGCCGATGTTGTCTCTGCTGCTGCCGATATTGTCTCTGCTGCTGCCGATTGAATTGTTGCTAATGCTCTCTTTCTTTCTGTTTCAGGTATGGTGTGTGAATACCAGAATCCTCCAGGGCTGAAGTCGGGGTCGAGATGTGGTGGGTGTGTCCAGGAGGTGAAGTTGACGATGGCGTCGCTGTCGGCGGTGCCCAAGTCTGGAACAAAGTCGAGGGCGAAGACGTTCTTCTTCAATACCGCCTTCCCGATGTAAAGTCCTCCTCTCCCGTGATGCAGCTTAAATTCTTGAGTGGTGCTGTCTGCTTTGAGGTGAATGCCCTTCGCCATCAGCTGACTGACACTTAGTAAGTTATAGCCGAGTCCCTCCGCGATTAAGACCTTGGACATTTGCAAGATGACGTTGGTTTCTCGTGACTGAAGTTGCACTATCCCCTGTCATCGTGTACGCATGTTCTGGTTGTTGGCTACGGTGATGACGACTTCGCGCTGAAGTTG